CGTGATCTTAAATGGAGGCAGCAGTTCTCCCAGGAGAGAAGATTGCGATGAAGAATGATGAATGGGGGGTGAGGGAGAGCTGGACTGCAATAGGCAGGCATCTTGCCTATGTTATCCAATTCCCTTGTGAGGGAAGCATAGGCTGGCTTGTGCTCTGCTATATACAGAGGTCAGGGAAATGGCACTTTGCCCAAGCTATACAAGTGTGGAAAACAACAGCTGATAAATTGCAAAATTGCAGAGGGCAAAGATTAAGATTCCTCAATCTGATGTCTTCCATGTGTTAGATAACCCCCATAATCATCTGGCAAACTGGCTAAAGGGTTATGGAGGTGGTCCAATCTATTTGTAGGGCATTGGGTTGTGGAAGGGTGGCAAAAATGTACATACGAGGATGTACCACCTCTCATTCTGAATCTATCTATCCATCCATCCATCCATCCATCATCCATCCATACACGAGAGAGAGAGGGAAGGAGGGAGGGAGAGAAGTTTTAACATTTCAGAGAGGGAGGGAGGGAGGGAGAGAAGTTTTAACATTTCAGGCTGTAAGCAAACTTTCACGGTTGAATGTCATGTCACCCACATGCCCAGCAAGCATTCTCCCCACTTAGAAAACAAATGTGCCAGTGAAAGGCTAGAGTGGAGCTCTTCTCTTTGTCATCAGGTTTTTGGTGTGGCAAGAAGAGTGACAGGAACATGTTCATTGGAAAAGTTCTTTTTGGGTAGCCTCCCCTCTTCTTGGAATCAGAATGAAAATAAATTAAGGATTATTGTAGATTCCAAGAGCTGAAATGCTGAGTTCTTTTTATGGGGATACTGAAAGTCTTTCTTCACCACTGAGTTGAATGTTATGATTCTAGAACAGCCGATAAGTCACCAGCGGGAATCACTTTTCAAACCGCTTCCCCTGAGCTACATGGAATAACAAAAACCTCTCATCCCAAAGTCTCCTAAAAGTGAAACAAATTGCCTGTGCCCTCCGTGTTTTTAGTACATGTGCTCACATGCAGTTTCTTGTGGTTTGCAAGAAAGCTGAGAACCTTCTGTGGTGGTGAGTTATCTGGTCAGTTACAATTTTAAAAAATGTAAACAATAGCACTGAATGCTTTCAAAGGCTTCCTGGCTGCCTTGTGGCGATTCTTCTGTTGCTTTTTAAAGCTCCTATGATCTGTGGCGAAATGACAGCCTGGCAGCCATTCTGCAACAAGGTACTTTCCCCAATCACTGTGACCATGAGTGCATATTGCTGGGTTGGATGGATTAGGGGAGGAGGGATAAGATATAAACCAGCATACAGGGACAAGCTCTGGGAACAGGGTGCTGAAACCCTGTGGCAGAGGAGACAGGTAAAGGTGGCTTGGGCATAGGAGGCAGAGTGAGGCAAAGAAACATGGATGGCCCATAAGTTCTGCAGAAGCAGACAAATTTCAGAGGAAATGCTGGCTTTGTTGCAGGTTCATATGAACAAGGGCAGTCAGACGGCAGTCAGTACATCCCCAAATCTGTGCTATATGTTTCCAAGGAAGCCCATAATAATGTAATAAATAAAATTTTATTGATAAAACAAATATTAACTTCCCCTACAAATTTAAACATCCTGCCACAATTTAAAAAAAAAATATCAGGCACAATTGCTGCTAAAACACAGGTTCTTCTTCATGCTACAAAGGATTTTCTAGCCACAGTTTGGCTTCAGGCAGAGAATAATTAGCCTATATCCTATCTCATCCTCATCTAGGTAATGAGTTGGTATGCTGTAAATTACAAGTAATTGCTCCTCTTTTTGCCAGTATACTGGCCTGCCTGTCTCTAGAGTTACCAGACAAAATAATATGAAACAGAGTACTGCTCTGTATACATTCTGTGAAAACTGAGATGTTCCAGACCAGCGATGGCGAACCTACGACACGTGTGTCAAAAGTGACACGCCACAACATTTTGGGTGATATGCCAGGGTTCACCAACACCTGACAACTATTCTTCCTGTTTGAGTTACTAAAGAAACTGAGTTTGTTTTACTCGTATTTCATTTTTGTAATTATTTGTCGCTTCTTTATATGATGCATAGCACCACACACGATTGGACTGTGTTTTTTTTAAATAAATGAATATGTAAAGAATTGTTTCTTTTTTGTTCGGGGGGAGGGGTGACATGCCAGCAGTGTCAAGTTATGCATTTTCTGAATTTTTGACATGCCGAGCCCAAAAGATTCACCATCACTGTTCTAGACTCTCCAAGGATATCTGGTGAACTTGTTCTTCAAAACCACAGTAAGGTCAGCCCCAAGACGAACCTGAGTCTGCCTTTCCTACCACGTTAGTTTTTTCCAGCACAACTCCTTTTCTCCTTCCCTCTGCTGGACTCTGGATTTGTATTATGTTTTACAATGACCATTGGTTTCTTTCATCTACATCTCAAGCTTGGCTCCTAAAGCCCACAGATCAGGAATGACAAAGCTCTCTCAAATCTCAAGGTAGAAACACTACTTCCCATCTAGCCAATTCACCTTTAGGTGAGGATAAGGACATTTTAAATCAAGGTCTGGGGCTGGAAAACATTTTGGCTACATTTTGAAGCCTTTGATATCAGAGCAGAATTGCTGCCCTCCACCTGGGATCCTCCAGAAGCTCTGAATTACAGTCCTTAACATTTCTAGCCAAGATAGCCCTTGATGGTTGGGGAAGATAAGAATTATAATTCACATTTGGAGGGCATCAGGTGGTTAAAAGCTAGAGTAAATATCTTATGTTGGAGCTGAAAACCCTTTCCGTCACATAGCAGAATGTTTCTCATTCAATCTTTGTCCAGAAGGTAAGCGTGAGAAAGACTATGACAAAAAACTACGAACATCAGTGAAAAAACAGGAACTGTAACATCATCGTTTGTTTTTAAAAGTTCTGTAGTAGTGCATCTTGTGACACGTTGGCTACAGACTTACCGCCAGAATCTGTTTTCCAACAGCCTGTAGTCCCCAACACAGGCAGCACAATCTGTAGTCCATCTGTTACAGACCACAATCTCCCAGGCATTTGAGATTCCTTTTCCTGTGTGCTGGATTATTAAGCAAGCAACAGACACACAAAACAGGGCCCAACTGACCCTCAGCTGGGCTGCTTTTGGTTTGATGGGTCCTCATCACAAACTATGACTCCATTTCACATTTTCTGTATCCCCCATCTGAACTGCTGCTTGTAAGTCTTCTATCTTCCTTACTCTGTTCCGGAGTTTTGCTTGATTAATAATTAAGCTAAGTACACAAACACAAGGCTAACTCAAGGTCCTATTCTTCAGCAGTCCCACCATAGTTTCTCCTTGTTCTCCCTTTCATGTAGCAAAGAACAGCCTTTCTCAATCTGGGTTTCTCCAGTCTTTTCTTATCCTACACAATCATCTGCCCTAATTTGCACAGTCAAGGATAACAGGATTTAGTGGCCAGCGTATTTGCAGAGAGATAGGTTGCAAAAAATTGCCAAAGAGCTAGAAGGTAATATAGAAAGGAATCAGGATTCTATTTGCTAGTGCTGCTTCCTGCCCCCCTCCACAATTTGTGGTTCCAATATTTCTGCCTGGTTGCTCATGCTTAAAATAATATTGAACAGGACCTTCCTGAGGATTTCACTGGAATCAGCGGTGCTTATTTCTGAGTAGACATATATAGCAGGTGAGGGTTTATTTTCTGAAAAACAGAAGAGGACAATCTGGTGGTGGCTGCAGCAGCAGTGGTGGGGTTTGGAAGGATAACTTGTGTAGGGTCTTTTGTTGTTGTTGGGGGGGGTTTGCTTTTTTTGAATGAAGAAACTATAGCTTTTGTGCACTTCCCCTCCTCGTGCCTCTGTGTTCAAAAAGTGGTGGCTCTAGAAATTCCCAGAAAGGGATTCAGAAAAGCTAAATGGGCAGTGGGACATGGTTGTTGGCCACTGTTGTACAGCAAATGGCTACTGAAGCTATTTATGTATGCAATGCCTATTTCGATTTGAAGACAGATATCCATGATGTGTTCAGCTAAATAAAAGCCAAGCTTTTAAACCAATCAAGTCCAGAATCTGAAATAGTTAACCCTTGAGTGGTTCTGCAGTATAGTCTCTCCCCTGTAGCTGTACACTGCAGGGGAAAGCTGGTCATGTTAGACAATCAGCCTTTAAGGAAACTCTCTTTGCCATCTTTCTTCTTATAAGGAACTGAGGACAAGTTGTTGAAGAAACCTGTGGATTCTTTTGAGAATTCAGTGATGCAGTTTCCCTTCCTGTGATGCCCATGAGCAGAAGCAAACCAGTCATACCTGGACTGCATTCAGTGCATCTAAAAAAAAAGAATCTTTGCCCTCCAGTAGGCTTAGTAGTGCAGCTAAAGAGTATTTGCAAACATACTTCGGTAGGTTGTAATAATCTCCCAGTTATAGGCGTAGCTCAGAAGCAAACCAGAGGGCACGTGGAAGAGGAATTCATAATGGCGATAAACATTGTTTTCTCCTCCTTTTTCTCTTACTCTTAAGCAGTCAATTTATTTTGTAACAAATAACACCAACAAAATGTTGAAGCACCCTTGAACTAGATATGTCTTTCTAGTCTATCTCTTAACTGTTTTTTGGTTTCTCTCTCACCCACTCTGGTCTACTCACAGTCAGTGGTCACTGAGCATACTCAATCATTGCTAGACAATGCTGTGAGTCCCCATCCTTCTCCCCTTCTCCTTTTCTAAATATGGGGCCTAAAGATTTTGAGTCCTTGGGCAAGGATTTCCTGAATCTGTAAAAGCTTCCCTCTTATGCATGGAGGGTTCTTCTTTGCTTTCCTAAGGACCACTGCTTGCTTCACTGAAATTGCTAGTAATTTATAAGGTTCTGTTCACCACATCTCTTCTGAAACCCAGGTTGTTCTTTGGCCAACACTGCATCTGTTTTCAGTGCAAAGTGTGATTAGAGAGAATCACAGCAGGAAGAAGACTACATATCTTTAAAACTACAAAGACCAAAATCTTCTTCAATGAAAGCTAGGTATCTTAAGAATGTATCCTGTGTCAGATTCAAAAATCCTACATATGTATCAACAGTAAACAAAAACAGATTTGCCCAATGTTTGGCACCATGCACACTTGGCTGAAAGGAATACTATGAGGTCCAGGCACAGGTTATCTGATGTTTACAAACTAACTTTTACCCAATCACAACCATTAAATTAGATGATTGTCAGTACCATTTATTACAAAAATACCTTTCACATTATAGGGGGTACAAGAGGTCAGGCTTAGAGGATAAGAAGTTCTAATCAGGTCTTTCATGATTTTTTTACACCAGTTTTCTTCAATTTAGCACCCATCAGATAGGTTGGGTCTGTAACTCCTTGAACTTTTTAGCTAAGCTTTGGCCACATAGCTGGGAGATGCTATCCCAACATAATTAGAAGATGCCAATTGGTAATTATGCCAACTGGGAATGGCTAATTTAGGTACTCTCCTCCCATCTATTCTTTCAGAATTTGTGATTAATTCCTTCTATGTGTACATTTCTGCAAGACATACAATTGCCTTTCAAGCAGCAGAAATGCATCACTAGAACAACAGGTACTAAATATTCCACAGTTATCATCCTTCTCCAAGCAACATAATCTGAGTGCATTGAATACTTCAGGGATGAGATCATCTCAATATCGGTGAAGAGGAAGGGCGACTCTTCCTGAATAATACCATCTTTAAAAAGTGGATTTTTTGTGTTTTAAACGAAAGCCCAACAGGCAGTGGTGATGTGGACATGGTGTTTTCCAATGGGAGAGAAGCTCAAAAAGAAGTGAGGACTGGTCTAATGTTTTCCAATCCCGATGAAAATCAGGCTGCCCTATTTAACGCCTGGAGGAAGGTGAGATCTTTAGTGCTGGAGTAGAGGTGCCCTCAGCTACCTCCAGTAGGGCACCACTTGCTCTTCCTCCTGGTGCTTCCAGCAATTGATGCAGCAGTGGCTGTTGGTACAGCAATGATCAAGAGCTTCCAAGGAGCCCCAAGCTGGCAGTGACGGTCCCAGTGTGCCTATGCAGTCCGTACAGCAGTGAATGCCCAGTGAGTGGCTGAATGGGTTAAGGTCCTGCAGCTGACAAAGCAGAGACAGTCTCTACCTGTCTTTCAGCCTTCCCTAGCAGTCAGTGTGATGGTCTGAGCTGGGACTGTCCAAGATGCTTGAAGGCACAGGATGAGGCTGCTGCTTGCAGTGAAACATGCTGGAAATATAGAAGGCCTGGAAAGGAAAAGATGAGAAAAATGGCATAAGAGAGCCAGCCACTATAAGACAGTAACAACTAAGAGGGTCAGCACGTTAAGAGATAACATCTGACTCCATTAACATTGGACTGAGCCTACAGTTTAAATCTGTGGCCAAAATGCCCCCTTCTAACTCTATGGTACAGCTGCTAAGCATATTGTATTTCTGATGTACTGGCTAGACCACTAATATCAGAAATGGAGGACACTGATCAAAATGTTACGAATCTCTGATTTCCATAAATATGCCTTCAGTTTGTGTCTTCCTAAAAACATATACAATGTTCTGAACTTCAATAAATCTAAGCTTCACGCTCCCTTTGCTGCTCTGGAGGTGGATGGGAGGGGCTGGAAACACACAATCAGAGTAGGAAGTGGAATGATTTCCTCCAGGCTGTCTACAGACAATACTTGCAAGGGTGTGTCTTTCCTTAGTTATTTCCTGGCAGCTTGTACTAAGCCCCGTGCCCTTGCTCCCTTCCCAGACCAAGTCCTTCTCATTCAGCTAGCCCTTATCGATTTCCATAACATCACAGCAGCAGAATCCTTTCGAATGTGACCAAGCAGGAAAAGGGTAATAAAAAGGGCAAGTAAAAGAATTAAAGAATTGGAGGACCTCTCCTATAAAGGAGAGTGAAAGCACTGGGGACATTTGAGCTGGAGGGAAAAATAGATGACAAAAGAGGGAACATGATAGAGTTGTATGAAATAATACCTATCTAATATAGGTTAAATACTCACTCACTCTCTCATGATGTTTAGTGCAATCCCTATGTGAATTCTATTTGCTGGTGCTACAATAGGACAGGCAGAAGAACAAATCTCTTCTCCCTAAACATATTTAAGAATTCACGACCACAATGTCCACTAGCATTGACAGCTTGAAAAGAGGTGGAGGATGACAGCAAGCCAATCAACAGCAATTTTCCATAATAGCCAAATGAAACTTGCACGTTGAGAGTCTGCCAGTGGGCAAAAGGGGACACAGGCCTGTGGCCTCTGAACATAACTTATGAGTCTCTAGAAGCATCTGTCTGACTTGTGAAACAGGATGCAAAACCGGACGAGCCTTTGCTGTAATACATGGTTACCCAATCAGCATGCAGTTATGTATTTAGTATGTAAAAGATGTCAACCCTGATTGCTCATTGGAAGGATCGATAATGAAGCTCAAGCTCAGATATTTTGGTCACCTAATGCGAAGAGAGATCTCTTTGGAGAAGACCCTGATGCTGGGAAAGATTGAAGGCAAAAGGAGAAGA